CACCACGCATGCAACGCACGAACATGTGATGGGAGGCAGACAGACGTGAATGCAAGTGATAGCATCACATAACAAACTCTCCCTCTGGCTGCCTACCATCATCCCACATGCCATAGCTCAATCATGCACCCTCAATGCACACTTATCCCAGCAAGTTTCATGCCCTTCCAATGTTCAGATTCAGCCAGGCGCTTGGTGAGAATGTCAGCCGCCTGCTGATGGGTCTTCACAATCTCCAGTCGCACCTCCTTGTCCAGGAGCCTCCTCACCCAGTGCCACTTAGGCCTGATGTGCTTCGTCAGCCCATGAAGGCAAGCGTTCTTTGCAAGCTTCACAGCCAACTTGTTGTCACAAAAAATCACAGTTGGCTCCTTTTGGCACACTCCGATCTCCCCCAACAGACGCTTCAGCCACACTACCTCCTTTGCCTCATGATGCAGTGCCATGTACTCTATCTCACACGAGGTCTGCCCCACCTCATTCTGCTTCTTGCTGCGCCAGCTCACTGCACCACCTCCAAACAGGCACACATAGCCTCCAATGCTGGTGCCATCCGCCTTCACGGAGTTGAAGCTAGCGTCGGTGTAGCAGGTCAGGAGCATCTCCCCCTTGCTCAAATCAGAAGCACCCCGCTGCTGCCTTTGCCTCACAGCACTGTACTCCAAACCCACAGATGCAGTGGCGCTCACATAGCGGACCAACCTCTTCGCCGCTTCCAGCTGCTCACGACTGGGGCGTGGAACCACACTGACAAGCGTGGATGTAGCAAAGGCAATGTCAGGCCGCGTGTGGTTAGCCGCATAATTGAGTGCCCCCACCATGGAATGAAACAGCTTCCTGTCACTCTCACCCACCACCTCCTCATCAGCACAGGGCTCCACAGTGAACCCCGAGGGCAGTGGGTTGGCTGGCTTTCCTCCATCTTGCAGCCCATAATTCTCAGCAAGCCCCTCACAATACTTCCTCTGGTGCAACCTTAACACTCCCTTGTCAAGGTCCCTCTCCACATGCATCCCTAGGTAATACTTCACATGTCCCATGTTCGAGCACTTGAACTGCATCTCCAGCATCTCCTCCACACGCTCAATCATTGTAGATGATCATTGTAAATGACAGTGACCTGCACTTGCCTCGAAGGCCGCTGCACCTCATCAGCCTCAATGATCAGCGATGTAGTAGGAAGCTTCTGCTGCTGCTGCTTCCACTCCTTATAGTACAAGGACTCAAGGAACTTCACATCCCTTGACACAGTCAGCTGCTGGCTGGTCAAGTCCCAAATTAGCCAGCCCTTGTGATCCTTAGCAAGCCCCAAGTGCACAACCCATCTCCCAGAAGCTTCCAGTTTTCCCCTCTTCTCCTTAGGCACATGAAACACCACCATGCAGCCGAAGGCTCTCAGCATGTTGACTGCTGGTGCACTCCCATACCACTTGGTGTAGGGGACCCACTGCTTGTCCCCCATAGTTGCCAGCACCCTGTTCTTCACAAGGGCGACCTGCCGCAGTGCAGTCACCCAAAACGGATACGGCAGCCCTGCACGCCCAAGAAGATTGCGAGCACCTTCCTGTAGGGTCCGGTTGAACCGCACTACTGGCCCGATGCAAAATGTGTGTGTGGATAAGAACAGAGCTTTGGCTCGTGTGGGAGCAGACAAATGGGTGCCCTATGTGGAGTGGATCGAAAGGTGTTATGTGATGCTATCACTTGCATTCACGACTGTCTGCCTCCCATCACATGTTCGTGCGTTGCATGCGTGGTGTGAGCGTGTGCAAGAATTTGTGTTTGGTGTGGTTTGGTTTTTCTGAGTATGTGTGAATGTTATTTGGCTTGAGCAGATATCTGAAGTGACTCCTCTGCTCAAGAGCTTTCTGAAGAACCAAGTATCGCTTCAATCGGAGCACGAACAAGAAAGTTACGAACGTTAGAAGTTCGTATGCTTTTGATATTTGGTTGTGGTGACTATGGGAAGTTGTAGGGTTGACTCCATAAAGGGTATAGACTTTTGGGGGTTGGGAAATTCATCAACATCACTGTAGATGCTGCCAAGTGGCTGGAAAAAGCCAAACCAGGTTGGCAAGTGTGGCCAACTTGGGTGAGGTGGATTGTGGAGGTTGGGAAAGTGACAAATGTCAAAGTTGGGGTTGCCTAGAGAGAGGGAATTGTGTGACATGGGGTTTCCTTGGTTGGGGACTCCCTTGGGACCTTCTCTCTCAACCTCCTCATCCCCTCCTACCTGGTTTCTAGCTACTCCAACTTTTTTGTGTGAACTTGTGAGACAATTTTTCATTGAGATAAGTTTCTATGGCAGCTTACCCCCCTAGTGCGCCGAAATTCATAACTCAAGAAATACTTCACCTTATCGTATGATTCAAATTGGGAATTGTAGCCACAGACTAGGGCTACAACATATCTGAGTTTGGTGAGCCCTTAACGGTGCGCATTCCGTCGACGGCGTTTCTTGTGAACTCGATTTTTCTGTCCAGAAACTAGGCCCAACGATTTTGAGATATTTCGGCGCCTAATCTTCATATTCTTCGTCCTAAGTTTCTAACAGCACGGGCGCCATGGCTGAATCACGGGGTTGACTTTGTGCTTGGGATCCTCCACATCCTCCAGCACCTCTTTTACTCCTTTCTTCAGGTCCAGCCATCGTCTTGGCTGCTCCAAGGCGGTCTGATACCACTTGTTATTGTCACAGTATGCTCCATTGTGCCTAAAACGAAAGATTGAGTGCACAGTCGGATTTCTGAACAGCGGCTTTAAACGCTCATAGCGTTCTGGTCACAGCTTCAAATGACCTGATGCAACTTGGATCTGGAGCGTCTTAAAGTCACATATAATAAGAATCTATATCGCACGATTTCATTAAGAATTGACGACACAGCGTTGGTTTGAACGAACGGCACTATAGCACCACTATAGTCTTGGAACACAACTTAGGAAGAGTTACGAGTTGGGAATGACTCCCTGCTCCTACAAACCACAAGAGCCGATGTACACTGATGCGTAACACGCGACTAGCTATTGACTCGACACACACATTCGACATCATGACTCAACATTCACACACTATTATCAGCATGAAATATATATTATCCCGTGCCCTCATACCATTCCATGCACACACGCATGCACGCACACGGACAACAAGCCGAGTGCAAACCGTAGGGTTGGACCAATAGGCAAGTCGCCACTTTGCCCTGCTGGAGCGCGGTGGACCTTGCAGTAATGGAACGTGGTCGACTGTGCTGCGCTCGCAGTCGACCAGCTTGCATGCTATTTTGATGTAGTCAGTGTTGCTTTGCTTGTTCAACTATTGTTCACAAATTTTGCGATTAAAACTCTTGCCAATTCTCCCGCGAATCTGTGCATAGAGAGAACACAAGCAAACGCTAAGGAACGCTATGATCACTCCAATAACCCGTACCTTCTCCATAGTGTAGCTCCGGTTGTGTAGTCTATCTCCGCATGGTGCGGTGAGCGTGGACGGCCCCGTAGCTTACCTTGTGATAGGAGCCGACTTTTGCACCTATTAAGTCGTTAGTAGGCCGGCAGCACGTGTGACCATGATGCCCGTCCTGATTGTTCCCGGCACGGTAGAAGATAGTATGGAAACTCGATTGGCTGATACGAAGAGACGCCATGAGGCTGGCGAGTTCGGGACGACCCTTAGAGGTTGTCGAGCTGGGGATCCGCACTAAGTGGGTGATGGAACAACAAAGGTGCGTCGACAAGGGCGTCAACGTTGGTGACCAAGTCCACAGTAGTGGAGGAGGCACGTTGAGGCAGAGAGGAGTGATTCATGCCAGTGAATTTGACGGCCTTCAGGCGCAAGGGCTGCAGTCGTCGGCACCGGCGGGCTCCTTGCTAGGCGATGTCTGTGGACGTCGAAGTAGTGGGACACCAGCGTCGGCGACTCACGTAACGGCGGGCGGAATTGTGCCGATCTATGGCTACTTCATTTCCCGCCAAAAAAGATCACTGTCCCGGTGCCGAAGTCACCTGGACGCGGGCCACCAGGTTTGGTGGTACATCACGTTGACGTACCAGGCCACCGACGACTTGTACATCAGCCAACTTGAGGAGAAGTTGACGCACATCAGGATGGGCGAACAGGAGTCAACGACTTACTACTGCAACCGGGCTCGGCGGATTCTGGCCGACATGCGGATTGCCGGCGTCAGCAACTCGATGGCGTTCTACATCATGCACTTCATCAAGGGTCTTCCGAGTAGCTACAATCTCATGCGTCAGCTGTCGGTGATGCCGGGCATGCGGGAGTCAGGGGACCCTGACCTTGTACATCATCATGGACGAGGGGATGCAAGAGGCCGAGAGTTCCTCGGAGCTCCTGCTGCAGGCAAATTACGTTGCCCCGACGAAGCGAGGGAGTTAACCGAGGCAACATGGCAAGCCTAACAGCGGTGGTACCGGAGGTGGGAGGCTGGCCAAGGACGCCGACACAACGAAGTCGGCTAGGGAGGGCAGTCATGGAAGAGGAGGTCGACGCCGTGAATGCTAGGCCTACAGCTACCCCAACTACCTCTCCTTCGAGTGCCCGACAGCGACGACTCCGACGACCACGACACCAAGGGAGGCCGAGGGAGGTCGAGTGGTCATAGCTTACGTCGGAGGAGCAAGCCGCGCGAGGAGAAGCAGTTGACCAAATCAACGTCGGCGAAGGACACCGACTCCTCCTTTGGCGGCAAGGGAAAGGCGACGGGGAGGCGTCGAACTCGCTGGTCGGCGTCGTGAAGCCGACCGTCTCGCTGGCACCGGAGGCCGGCGAGGACTTCAAAGCAATGGCGGTAGTCATGCAAGCTAACCCGGTAGTGGTCCAAGTCGACAGCGGCTACTCGCACCACCTTATGAGGACAAAGGAGGCCTTCGCCGACTTGGAACCAAGCAGCAACGTCAAGCACGTGCGCGGCTTCAACGGGGCGGTGCAGCTCGTCCAACTGTCCTATTGGTCCAACTGGTCAATTGGACAAACTGTCCTATTAGTCCAACAGATCCACCGGACAACCTGGCCAGTTGGTCCAATCGGTCCATAGGACCAACTGGCCGGTTGGTCCAACCGGTCCATTGGACCAACTATCTAGTTGGTCCATCCGGTCCATAGGACCAATTGGCCGGTTGGTCCAACCGGTGCGTGGACCAACAGGCCCGTTGGTGCAACTTGTCTAAAGGACCAACTGGCCGGTTGGACCAACCGGTCCACTCGACCAACTGACCTGTTGGTTCTATACGTCCACAGGACCAACAGGCTGGTTGGTCCAACTGGTCCACAGGACCAACAGGCCGGTTGGTCCAACCGGTCCACAGGACCAACTGGCCGGTTGGTCCAACCGGTCCACAGGACCAACTGGCCGGTTGGTCCAACCGGTCCACAGGACCAACTGGCCGGTTGGTCCAACCGGTCCACAGGACCAACTGGCCGGTTGGTCCAACCGGTCCACAGGACCAACTGGCCGGTTGGTCCAACCGGTCCACAGGACCAACTGGCCGGTTGGTCCAACCGGTCCACAGGACCAACTGGCCGGTTGGTCCAACCGGTCCACAGGACCAACTGGCCGTTTGGTCAAACCGGTCCACAGGACCAACTGGCCGGTTGGTCCAACCGGTCCACAGGACCAACTGGCCGGTTGGTCCAACCGGTCCACAGAACCAACTGGCCGGTTGGTCCAACCGGTCCACAGGACCAACTGGCAACCGGTCCACAAGACCAACAGGCCGGTTGGTCCAACCGGTCCACGGGACCAACAGGTCGGTTGGTCCAATCGGTCCACACGAACCAACATCCCGGTTGGTCCAACCGGTCCACAGGGCCAAATGGCCAGTTGGTCGAACCGGTCCACGGGGCCAACAGGCCGGTTGGTCCAACCAGTCCACAGGACCAACAGGCCGGTTGGTCCAACCGGTCCACAGGACCAACAGGCCGGTTGGTCCAATAGGTCCACACGACACAAAGGCCGGTTGGTCCAACCGGTCCACACGACCAACTGGCCGGTTGGTCCAACCGGTCCACATGACCAACAGGCCGGTTGGTCCAACCGGTCCAGACGACCAACAGGTTGGTTGGTCCAACCGGTCCACAGTACCAACTGGCCGGTTGGTCCAACCGGTCCACAAGACCAACAGGCCGGTTGGTCCAACTGGTCCACAGGACCAACTGGCCGGTTCGCCCAACCGGTCCACAGGACCAACTGGCCGGTTGGTCCAACCGGTCCACTGGACCACCTGGCCGGTTGGTCCAACCGGTCCACAGGACCAACAGGCCGGTTGGTCCAACCGGTCCACAGGACCAACAAGCCGGTTGGTCCAACCGGTCCACAGGACCAACAGGCCGGTTGGTCCAACCGGTCCACAGAACCAACTGGTCGGTTGGTCCAACCGGTCCACAGGACCAACAGGCCGGTTGGTCCAAACGGTCCACAGGACCAACAGGCCGGTTGGTCCAACCGGTCCATAAGACGAACTGGCCGGTGGGTCCAACCGGTCCATTGGACCAATAGGCCGGTTGGTCCAACCGGTCTACAGGACCAACTGGCCGGTTGGTCCAACCGGTCCACAGGACCAACAGGCCGGTTGGTCCAACCGGTCCACAGGACCAACTGGCCGGTTGGTCCAACCGGTCCACAGAACCAACTGGCCGGTTGGTCCAACCGGTCCACAGGACCAACTGGCAACCGGTCCTCAGGACCAACAGGCCGGTTGGTCCAACCGGTCCACGGGACCAACAGGCCGGTTGGTCCAATCGGTCCACAGGAACCAACATCCCGGTTGGTCCAACCGGTCCACAGGGCCAAATGGCCAGTTGGTCGAACCGGTCCACAGGGCCAACAGGCCGGTTGGTCCAACCAACCGGTCCACAGGACCAACTGGCCGGTTGGTCCAACCGGTCCACAGGACCAACTGGCCGGTTGGTCAAACCGGTCCACAAGACCAACTAGCCGGTTGGTCCAACCGGTCCACAGGACCAACAGGCCGGTTCGTCTAACCGGTCCACACGACCAACAGGCCGGTTGGTCCAACCGGTCCACATGACCAATTGTCCGGGTGATCCAACCGGTCCAGAGGACCAACAGGCCGGTTGGTCCAACCGGTCCACAGGACCAACTAGCCGGTTGGTCCAACCGGTCCACAGGACCAACTGGCCGGTTGGTCCAACCGGTCCACAGGACCAACTGGCCGGTTGGTCCAACCGGTCCTCAGGACCAACAGGCCGGTTGGTCCAACTGGTCCACAGGACCAACAGGCCGGTTGGTCCAACCGGTCCACAGGACCAACAGGCCGGTTGGTCCAACCGGTCCACAGGACCAACTGGCCGGTTGGTCCAACCGGTCCACAGGACCAACAGGCCGGTTGGTCCAACTGGTCCACAGGACCAACTGGCTGGTTGGTCCAACCGGTCCACAGGACCAACAGGCTGGTTTGTCCAACCGGTCCACAGGACCAACTGGCCGGTTGGTCCAACCGGTCCAAAGGACGAACAGGTCGGTTGGTCCAACCGGTCCACAGGACCAACTGGCCGGTTGTTCCAACCGGTCCACAGGACCAACAAGGGGGTTGGTCCAACCGGTCCACAGGAGCAACTGGCCGGTTGGTCCAACCGGTCCACAGGACCAACTGGCCGGTTGGTCAAACCGGTCCACAAGACCAACTGGCCGGTTGGTCCAACCGGTCCACAGGACCAACAGGCCGGTTCGTCTAACCGGTCCACACGACCAACAGGCCGGTTGTTCCAACCGGTCCATTGGACCAACAGGCCGGTTGGTCCAACCGGTCCACATGACCAATGGTCCGGGTGATCCAACCGGTCCAGAGGACCAACAGGCCGGTTGGTCCAACCGGTCCACAGGACCAACTAGCCGGTTGGTCCAACTAGTCCACAGGACCAACAGGCAGGTTGGTCCAACCGGTCGACAGGACCAACTGGCCGGTTGGTCCAACCGGTCCACAGGACCAACTGGCCGGGTGGTCCAAGCGGTCCACAAGACCAACTAGCCGGTTGGTCCAACCGGTCCACACGACCAACAGGACAGTTGGTCCAACCGATCCACACGACCAACTGGCAGGTTGGTCCAACCGGTCCACAGGACCAACTGGCCGGTTGGTCCAACCGGTCCACAGGACCAACTGGCCGGTTGGTCCACTCGGTCCACAGGACCAACTCGCCGGTTGGTCCAACCGGTCCACAGGACCAACAGGCCGGTTGGTCCATTCGGTCGACAAGACCAACAAGCTGGTTGGTTCAACCGGTCCTGAGGACCAACAGGCTGGTTGGTCCAACCGGTCCACAGGACCAACAAGCCGGTTGGTCCAACCGGTCGACAGGACCAACTGGCCGGTTGGTCCAACCGGTCCACAGGACCAACTGGCCGGGTGGTCCAACCGGTCCACAAGACCAACTAGCCAGTTGGTCCAACCGGTCCACAGGACCAACAGGACGGTTGGTCCAACCGATCCACACGACTAACTGGCCGGTTGGTCCAACCGGTCCACAGGACCAACAGGCCGGTTGGTCCAACCGGTCCACACGACCAACAGGCCGATTGGTCCAACCGGTCCATTGGACCAACAGGCCGGTTGGTCCAACCGGTCCACATGACCAACTGTCCGGTTGATCCAACCGGTCCAGAGGACCAACAGGCCGGTTGGTCCAACCGGTCCACAGGACCAACTAGCCGGTTGGTCCAACCGGTCCACAGGACCAACAGGCCGGTTGGTCCAACCGGTCCACAGGACCAACTGGCCGGGTGGTCCAAGCGGTCCACAAGACCAACTAGCCGGTTGGTCCAACCGGTCCACAGGACCAACAGGACAGTTGGTCCAAACAATCCACACGACCAACTGGCCGATTGGTCAAACCGGTCCACAGGACCAACTGGCCGGTTGGTCCAACCGGTCCACAGGACCAACTGGCCGGTTGGTCCAACCAGTCCACATAACCAACTGGCCGTTTGGTCCAACCGGTCCACAGGACCAACTCGCCAGTTGGTCCACCCGGTCCACAGGACCAACTCGCCGGTTGGTCCAACCGGTCCAAAGGACCAACAGGCCGGTTGGTCCAATCGGTCCACAGGACCAATTGTCCGGTTGGTCCAACCGGTCCACAGGACCAACAAGCCGGTTGGTCCAACCGGTCCACAGGACCAACTGGCCGGTTGGTCCAACCGGTCCACAGGACCAACAGGCCGGTTGGTCCAACCGGTCCACACGACCAACTGGCTAGTTGGTCCAACCGGTCCACAGGACCAACTGGCCGGTTGGTCCAACCGGTCCACAGGACCAACAGGCCGGCTGGTCCAACTGGTCCACAGGACCAACTGGTTGGTTGGTCCAACCGGTCCATAGGACCAACAGGCTGGTTGGTCCAACCGGTCCACAGGACCAACTGGCCGGTTGGTCCAACCGGTCCACAGGACCAACAGGCTGGTTGGTCCAGCCGGTCCAAAGGACGAACAGGTCGGTTGGTCCAACCGGTCCACAGGACCAACTGGCCGGTTGGTCCAACCGGTCCACAGGACCAACAAGGGGGTTGGTCCAACCGGTCCACAGGACCAACTGGCCCGATTGGTCCAACCGGTCCACAGGACCAACTGGCCGGTTGGTCAAACCGGTCCACAAGACCAACTGGCCGGTTGGTCCAACTGGTCCACAGGACCAACAAGCCGGTTGGTCTAACCGGTCCACACGACCAACAGGCCGGTTGGTCTAACCGGTACATTGGACCAACAGGCCGGCTGGTCCAACCGGTCCATATGATCAATTGTCAGGGTGATCCAACCGGTCCCGAGGACCAACAGGCTGGTTGGTCCAACCGGTCCACAGGACCAACTAGCCGGTTGGTCCAACCGGTCCACAGGACCAACAGGCTGGTTGGTCCAACCAGTCGATAGGACCAACAAGCCGGTTGGTCCAACCGGTCGATAGGACCAACTGGCCGGTTGGTCCAACCGGTCCACAGGACCAACTGGCCGGGTGGTCCAAGCGGTCCACAAGATCATCTAGCCGGTTGGTCCAACCGGTCCACAGGACCAACAGGACAGTTGGTCCAAACGATCCACACGACCAACTGGCCGGTTGGTCAAACCGGTCCACAGGACCAACTGGCCGGTTGGTCCAACCGGTCCACAGGACCAACTGGCCGGTTGGTTCACTCGGTCCACAGGACCAACTCGCCGGTTGGTCCAACCGGTCCACAGGACCAACAGGCCGGTTGGTCCAACCGGTACATTGGACCAACAGGCCGGCTGGTCCAACCGGTCCACAGGACCAACAAGCCGGTTGGACCAACCGGTCGAGAGGACCAACTGGCCGGTTGGTCCAACCGGTCCACAGGACCAACTGGCCGGGTGGTCCAAGCGGTCCACAAGACCAACTAGCCGGTTGGTCCAACCGGTCCACACGACCAACAGGACAGTTGGTCCAACCGATCCACACGACCAACTGGCCGGTTGGTCCAACCGGTCCACAGGACAAACTGGCCGGTTGGTCCACCCGGTCCACAGAACCAACTCGCCGGTTGGTCCAACCGGTCCACAGGACCAACAGGCCGGTTGGTCCAACCGGTCGACAGGACCAACAGGCCGGTTGGTCCAACCGGTCCAGAGGACCAACAGTCTGGTTGGTCCAACCGGTCCTCAGGACCAACAAGCTGGTTGGTCCAACCGGTCGACAGGACCAACTGGCCAGTTGGTCCAACTGGTCCACAAGACCAACTAGCCGGTTGGTCCAACCGGTCCACAGGACCAACACGACGGTTGGTCCAACCGATCCACACGACTAACCGGCCGGTTGGTCCAACCGGTCCACAGGACCAACTGGCCGGTTGGTCCAACCGGTCCACAGGACCAACAGGCCGGTTGGTCCAATCGGTCCACAGGACCAACTGGCCGGTTGGTCCAACCGGTCCACAGGACCAACAGGCCGGTTGGTCCAACCGGTCCACAGGACCAACATGCCGGTTGGTCCAAACGGTCCACAGGACCAACTGGCCGGTTGGTCCAACCGGTCCACAGGACCAACAGGCCGGTTGGTCCAACCGGTCCACAGGACCAACTGGCCGGTTGGTCCAACCGGTCCACAGGACCAACAGGCCGGTTGGTCCAACCGGTCCACAGGACCAACTGGCCGGTTGGTCCAAACGGTCCACAGGACCAACTGGCCGGTTGGTCCAACCGGTCCACAAGACCAACAGGCCGGTTGGTCCAACCGGTCCACAAGACCAACTAGCCGGTTGGTCCTACCGGTCCACAGGACCAACAGGACGGTTGGTCCAATCGATCCACACGACTAACTGGCCGGTTGGTCCAACCGGTCCACAGGACCAACTGGCCGGTTGGTCCAACCGGTCCACAGGACCAACTGGCCGGTTGGTCCAACCGGTCCACAGGACCAACAGGCCGGTTGGTCCAACCGATCCACAGGACCAACAAGCTGGTTGGTCCAACCTGTCGACAGGACCAACTGGCCAGTTCGTCCAACCGGTCCACAGGACC